AATAGCCCACCTGGGCACAGGATATCGACCAACAACAGGGCCTAGAGGGCAAGAAAATAAGAGTAAAAAGAATTAAAAATAGAAAAGAAAAAGATTACATTAATCTACACCATAAAGATGCCGTAATCTTCCCTGTTTTCAGGCTTCTATTTCCCTGGTCCACTTCATAAGAACATAAGGAGTCTGCAATAGGCCAGTTGGCCTGTGCATGGCAGCACCTGTCAGGAGTTTCAACCACCCTCTATTGTCCATGAATCTATCTAGCCTCCTTTTAAAATTTTCCAGCGTTCCACCACTTAGTACAAAGTTGCTAAGCTTGTTTCACTCATCTACCACCCTATTTGTGAACCAGTTTCTTCCTATCTCCCTCCTAAACCTAAACTTATCCAACTTAAATCCGTTGCTACGAGTCCTATCCTGCTCGGATATTATAAGAACTTTATCTACAGTATATCTCCTTTATTGATTCCTTTCACTCACTTAAATACTTCGATCACATCTCCCCGCACTCTTCGTAAGCAGGATCACAGGAAAAGTAATTGATGGATACATGTATGGCATATTTTTCACAGTATTACACTAAATTTCTTAGCTTCAATCTATAAGGGGCACTGGAAGTTTGCTTTAGTGAAAATTTTGCATGAGGCCGTATTCTATTTTCAAGTGTAAAAATTACCAATAAAAACTGTACAGTAGTTAAAAATATCTCTTGTCTCTTTAAATTTTAATTCTATAAGCAACAATACCTGTATACTGTACACACACATATATATATATATATATATATATATATATATATATATATATATATATATATATATATATATATATATATATATATATATATATATATATATATATATATATATATATCTATCTATCTATCTATACATACAAATGAGAAACTTGTTCTTGGTTTTGGTAGGAAGTTTTCTATCACTCAACGGTGCGTTAATCCACTTACTATTGCTAAAGGTATAATCAACCTGGAAAAGAACAAATCGTTAGATGTTACAAAGGAAGATATTTCCAGAGCTAAAGGCTGTATACATAGTGTATTACATAAAGAAATTTGTTTCAAACATTCCAAAAAGATTTGAAACAGCCTTGTTAAACTTGAAAAGAAATAAGAATATCCATATTACCAAGGCTGATAAGTCTAATGCTATTGTAATTTTGGATAAAAGTGACTAAAATGATAAGATGAATTCATAACTAAGTGATGAAAGCAATTATTGTGAGCTTACGAAAGATCCCCTGGAAAATATTAATAAGTTATCTAATTCCAAAATGAAGATGTTATTGAAAAAGACCCCGATCTCACCAAACAGCTCTCTCAAATCAATCCCACTTTACCTTATATGTATGGATTGATCAAAACACACAAGCTTAATAATCCATTACGTCCTATCGTGAGTTCTGTGGGTTCTGTTACTTACAAATTATCCAAGTGGCTGGTAAAGATGATATCCCCTCTTACAGGCCAAATATCTAATTCACATATACACAATAGCAGTGATTTAATTGATAAACTCAAGAAACACAATGAACCTTGCGAATTAATAAGTTTTGATGTAAATTCACTGTTCACTAGAGTACCTGTGAAAGACCTACTTTCATTTCTTAAAGATAAATTACAACTGTTAGATTTAACTATTGAACATGATACTTTCCTCAAATTGATAGAGTTATGCGTAACTGACAATGTGTTTAGAGCAAATGGGAAGTTCTACAAGCAAATATTTGGCATGAGCATGGGTAAACTAGCCTCTTACTCAAAAAGATAAATTACAACTGTTAGATTTAACTATTGAACTGATACTTTCCTCAAATTGATAGAGTTATGCGTAACTGACAATGTGTTTAGAGCAAATGGGAAGTTCTACAAGCAAATATTTGGCATGAGCATGGGTAATTGTCTTTCTGCTCCTCTAGCCTGTATTTATATGGAGTTTTTTGAGTCTAGATTACTACCCAATATAGTGGACTTTATTCCTCCATGGTATAGATATGTAGATGATGTTCTTTGTCTTTGGCCTAGAAACAGTGACCCATTGGAATTTTTAGACAAGCTTAATGATATTGTCCCAAGTATCACATTCAAAATTGAAAGAGAAATAAATGGATCCCTTCCATTCCTCGATATGTTTATCATGAGAAATGGCCAAAACTACAAATTTAAGGTATGCAGAAAGCCCACACAGGTAGACAGTTTCATACACTTTCTATCGAATCACCTGGAGTCTCCCAAAATGTCAGTTTTTTCTGCTATGTTCTTAAGATGTCTGAGTATTTGTGACTCTGAATTTATTGACGATGAATTGAAACACATTTGTTCCATTGCACAGAAACTCAGGTACCCTTCTGTGTTTGTTGATCGTTGTTTTAAAAGGGCTAAAAAATCCTTTCATTCCTCTCAAACCAGGCAAATTCCTACACTTAAGAATATTTTGACTCTGCGCTATTGTAATGAATTTGTCCCGTTAGTTCGGTCCCTCAAGCTACTAAATATTAATGTTGTTTTCAAGTATGACTCAACCATTACCAATATGTTAATAAGAAATAGCCCAAGTTTGAATGTAAATGGAAGTGTTTATTGTATTCCATGTAGCAAATGTAATTGTAATTATGTAGGACAGACAGGAAAAACACTGCAGCTCAGAATCAAACAACATAAATACAATATCAGAACAGCATCTGAAAGCAGTGCCTTGTTCGTTCATGTTAGGAATAATAATCATCCCATTGCTTGGGAAAAAAGCTTAGAAGTATTTTAATCATCTTGTGTCACAGAAAGACTTCTGGTTGAAGCTAGTTTGATTAAGGAATTAAAATCAATAAACCTTAGTGATGGTCAGTTTAAAACTGATATGTTACATAAATTTATTTGTCAGTGGCCCAAGGTTAAAAATGCTTTGAAAACCTTTGATCTAGATGTATGATAGTTATTTACAAAGGTCCCTTATTTTTGACCTGACCTGACTAGTCACGTCATCCCCCTTCTCTTAAGCTCCTCTACGTGTGTGTTGGTGTGGGGATTAGTGGATGACATCATTATGACCTGACCTCATGTTTTTAAGGTCACCCTGTATATTTAAGCCTCTCTCTGTCCATGTAATCCAGTTGCCTCTGAAGATGTCTTGAATAAAGACGAAAGCTAAGGTGCTCCGTTGTTTCCCTTTTCCCGTGTGATTTTTATCAATATATATATATATATATATATATATATATATATATATATATATATATATATATATATATATATATATATATATATATATATATATATATATATATATATATATATATATATATATATATATATATATATATATATATATATATATATATATATATATATATATATATATATATATATATATATATAACTATAATATGAGAGGATGGTGTGGTACAGGTTGTACACCGCTAATCCGAGACCCAATAGTCCGGCAGCTTTGATGGTTCGGGACCTCTGTCATAGCTTACTTCTAGTGGCTATTGCCACTATTTTACCTTTAAATACTTAAATTTACCCCTAAATATGCATCCTAAGTGACCAGCAGGCAGTGGAAGTAGTTGTAATGCAGAAAAATGCAAGCATGTGACATTAACTATTTTAAAAAAGGTGTCTATACTGAAGAAATTAGACAGTGGTACATCGGTCAGGACCTTGTGTGCTTTTTTGTTAAGCTTGGCTTCGATGGTTCAGAATTTTTAATAATCTGGAATTGATCTGGACCCAATCTTCCCGGATTAGCGAAGTCCAACCTGTACCTGTATTAGCTTTGAGTGTTGACAAGCACATGTAGAATACTGCACTGTAATGTAATGTACAGTACTAGGTTCAGAGTGAACATTGACAATTATACAGCATTTTTCTTTACAATATACTGTACATAACACTCACACTGCATAGACCAAACAGTGTTCTCCGAGTTAACAATTTCAAAAAGGATTATTGTAGGCTACAATTCCCCCTTATGTAATAGGCATTAGCATGAGGTTTTAGTGTACAGTATCCCTTCAAACACTGTAAAGGAAAAAAACCATATACGGTACAATCACTTCTTTCTTAACATTGACAGGATGGTCTGAGAAAGTAATGATCTCCAATAAGTAAGTTAGGTCGAGTGCATGTATGCCCCTTTTCTCCATACAGTACTAATTTTTTTTTAATCTGTTCAAGCTCAAATTTTAATTATTAGTTAACTACTGTACCTGACTATACTTTACTGTACAGGTATATTATTTCTTAAAAAAAAAATGCACATCTAAAGAATATGAAACAATAGTATATTTGAAACTTTACGCTACATGTAATACTCTTAATGAACTTTGAAGTTCAATTGGACTTTTCTTTTTACAAGACAGCAATTAAGTGACAATTTTCCATATCCTAATGAAGCCAGTAAATTTAATACTCTACACTCGCTCCAAAAAGTATCTTTACGGATGGGTCCGATGAATTTCAAAATGAATCCCGCGACTCCTGTTGTCTTGGTAGGGTTATCAAAATCCTTTGTTCATTGTGTCATTCTTTCGCACAAAACCGTAAAGGTAATTTTTGGAGCAAGTGTCCCTAGATTGCGTTTGAGTTTACTTCAGATGCATGCTAACTGCTGTACTGCACTGTATTGGACTTTGTGTGTCACTCAGTTAATTAATACCAATACAGTAGTTGTAAATTCCTTTTCAGATTATGAAATCCATCCAGAGTTAAGGTGTAGCAATGACAAAAAGAATATTAATGTAAGAAAGTTTCACTTCAGATAAACAATTCAGAATGTTACACTAAAGATAAACAATTCAGAATGTTACACTAAAGATAAACAATGGTTCATAATGTTAATGTTAAATTAAAACAGGCTTTATCAATGTTGTGAAAAGTCTTCCCTAATACAAGAAGGTCCAATTCACCCCATTAGCCGGCTCACCAGTGGAAATTAAACACTTTGTGTGATGATTAAAACTGAGGGAAAATGAATAAACAGAAGTGGTAGAATAAAATTGAGAAATACATTTATATTATTCATGATAGTACACAGGTACACAGATATAGGATAGCTGTATACCTGTGCACTATCATGAATAATATAGTGCACAGGTACACAGTTATCCTATATCCAAAATATTAAGAATGTGGGTCTTACAAGCTACAGCATCTGGAGAATAGAGCTAAAGATTGGCAGGTACTGTAATACCCAATCTGTTTTATCAATTGCTGAATGAACCTAAAACTATAAAACCAAATCCTGAAAAATAACTCCTGAAATATACATGAGATTTAGAATGAATTTTTTAATCATAGACTTACTTTCTTTGCATTAACCTCTTAATCCTAACATAGGAACAAAATTCTTGAGGTCAGAGTGGGCTTCCTTGCTTACTTATCCATCTAGATATGATTTATTATCATTTCCATCCTCATCCCTTTCTTTCAGTAATATCATACTTCTGTGAGGTGACTCTACAGAACTTAAATTAATATTTTCCCACAACTTACAAAATCTTAATTTCTTTTGGTTTGCCATCTTTAACTCAACTCAATTAAAAGAGGCTATGTAGTTCTTAAATTTAGATGTGTTTTCCAAATTAAGAATAAATGCAGATGATCAATTTGTGTTTTTCACTGACACAGAGAACAGGGTAAGTTGCTAAGAAAGCAAGTCAACCCTATTGGCAGCTCTCAAAGTAAGACACAGAATATATTACTATATTAATGACTTATAATTTACTCTTAAAAAATGGCTGAAATATTTGTTAAATTATAAAAGGTTCAAGTAACACGTTTTGGCAATACAGTATCATCAGTGAAAAGCAAACATGTTATTGCTTAAAGAAATACCTTGCAAAAAATCAGGAAATATGTCATGAGAATTATATCATAAGCAAAGTCACTTGCTAGTCATTTGTGCTTGAGCCGTCCCTCTTTGGTATCTTCACAATTCGGTTGTGTAACAAGCTCATTGCATTAAAGCTTACATTTTTCCATTATGCATAACAGCCACAATGCAAGAAGTGAAGTCATATTTGTGAGAGCTCTTCAAGTTACTATATATCACTTTTTTATACAAGTAAATTGCTTATCAATTATCTATAAAAAAAATTGTTTATTAGCTTAAACATTAGTGGCAGGTGCATTGTTATCAAGACCAGAGTGTGAGTGTCTTTGATTACTGTGAATGGTGGTTGGTGAGGAACCAGTGGCCACACTGCCATCAACTGCAACTACAGTTGGGGAAGGCTGTCTTGGGGATGCTCGGGTGTATACAGTGTCCTCCTCCTCTTCCTCAGTTGGTGGTTGAGATGCTGGAGGAATGTTGATCTCTGCACTGACAGTTGTTACCTGAAATATGTTTAAATAAATTACATCATTGTTGTACAAACTTATTCATCCATGTGTAACAACTGCTAATCAATACCTAATAAAAAACAGGTACTGTACCCTGCACCTAAAAAGGTAATCATACCCCATATGTATACACAAACAATAATATAAATAAAACTTATTAGGAGTACAGTACAGTATTTTCAACATTTGGTTACATTTATTTTTTTCAAACTGGAACTTATAATTTAGTTAAAAAGGCTTCATAGCTGTGAATTAGTAAGAAAATGTTTACAGTAAAATATACAAGTGAAAAAAAGCAGAGAAAATAAATATAATAGTAATGCATTATAAAGGAATTAAAGCAAGAACTCTACCTCATACCATGGCTCTAGCAACTCTTAAACTGAAGGTTTCATCAAAACATTCATAATGTCATTCATGTAATATCTGAGGCAACATTAACAATCTTTGACTGGCCAAGTCTTTAGTCCCATGATTACATATAAGAACACTTTAATTCCAAATTACCGTATTGGTGAAAAGATTATGCCTATTTTCTGAGGACCTATGACATGGCATTTTCACTAATTGGTATAATGTACTGTACTGTATTACAATGCCTCATCAAAATTATTATATAATGTCTCATACAAAAATCATTATATGTTTAACAAAATAATACATAAGTAATGAAACCCCTTTGCTAAACCATTACCACTATACTGTACAAAACATAGTATATCTAATACATTAAAGCTGTATATAAACACTACGAATAATGATTATTACTTTATACAGGACTGTATGTCACTTTTTTCACTTTTTGTTCTATACCATGAACTCCAATTTTTCTTAGTACCCTTCATAATTTATTCCTTATCTGATTAAAAATTGCATCTTTAACGGTGGTATTGTACTTTCCTCTCAAAACTGCATGTAGGTTCGATCCTGGGTTGGATGTGAAAAGGGTGTTCGCCAGTGTGACCCTACTGAACACTGCAGGTTTCCTCCAGGAACTCTAGTTTCCTCTTATACTAACACTGGACCAATGGGGATTGGCCCTCACTGAGCCTTAAGGGAGACTAGCTAATTATAAATGATAGAGCAATCCAATGTAAATACTGTACTGTATACAGGTATTGACAATAAAATAGTAATAATAATAAACTTTACTCTTTAGAATACAGTACAGTATATCAATATAATAGAACAAATAGAGTACAGTACCGTACTTCTATTGTCAACTATAACTGACACACTTAAGCCATGGTTACACAAGCAATTTTATGAAAAATTTCTGGACAAAGTTAATTCAGTCAGTTTTCCAGAAATTCGATCAAGTTTATACAACAATTTTACTGGATGATCGTGATCATTAATTCTTGATGATTTCGAGCAAGATTCTCGGGTCAAAACATGGCTATAATATTTCATTAAAAGATTGGGTGATGTTGTTGATATGTTGAGCTGTAGAAAGGTGCATGCCTAGGGTATACAAGAAACTAGATGGAAAGGTGAAGCCACATGGAAAAGGGTTGTAAAACAATGATGATGAAATTATATACTGTAACAGTACTTCCTTAAGTAATTCTACCACTGGCAATTTTATTCCTTTCAACTAGAGGGACCAACATTACTTAGAAGTGATTGGCCCTACAGTACTTGTCTACATCAGCATTAGTTAGGTGGATCTACTTTACAATGCAAAATCTCCACCTTTTTACTCACATATAAAGGCAGGCAAGGATTATGACAAATATTCAATATGACCCGATACCTACACCTACTTCAGCCCAAAACACCATTTGATCATTTGTCACACATTCATATTAAGTATAGCAGGTAAGGGACAGCAATTTGATTCTGGAGGTAAAAAAGATACAATTCATTTTTAACATACAGGTACAGTATATCTGAAAAAATTCCCATTTCATCTTCAACGCTAGGTATTGATATTGTCGGTAACCTATATTGTAGTTGAATGAAAAAATAATGTTTTTTTTAAGTACAGTACAATAATTCAGTACAATATATGGAAAAAGCATATCAACAGACCATTCTAGAAGCCAGAGAAATAGAAGCAAAAAATCCATGTATTGCATACAATAAACAGTCTCATTTGTAATTACTCTGCGTTTTAGAGTAATTTATTTAATAAATTACACACCTCCTTATAAGTCCATCATTGTGAGTAAGCTTGAGAGCTTTACCTCACTGACAGTAACTTCCATCATTAGCTACTTTGTTAACATTGCAATCAATCTACTTACAATATTAATGAGATACCAGTACAGTACATAATCTTACAAGATAATCAACATACTACTAACTATGACCATCTGCATTCCCCAGATTGTAAATAATATGTACTCTGCAATTATGAACCAGTGTTATTACCTTTGCTGTAGAATACTAGTAAACTAAACTGAACTTACCTTATTCTAAAATGCTTATTCAAACACGTTAATATTTTTAAAGAGTTATTTTTTCATAAGAGAAGACGTTTCATTACTATACAGTACAGTATTTGATAGTTAAGAAATAATAATAATATTTTTAAAGCATTGCCTGAAGTTTAAAATTGCTGATGTACTTAATCATTTATATTACATACTGTACTGTACTGTATATATAAAGAGTCAAAATAGGAAAATATCTACAATCATAGCACTGCTGAGTATGATGCAACCAGTAAGGTATTCTCCCATAATGTGCAGGGTGGCGCTAAAGTCACATTATCAGGAACGTTGTACTACATAACACAACTGTTCTTGGTAAAGCAACTTATGCACAAACCTGAAATATGTACCATATATATTTCATATAGTCTAATGTATTCAAACCACTTTCAAGAATTAAAGCAATGAACTCCATCTATAACACTTGCACGAAGCTCAGCAATACAGACTCAAAAGTAAATGAGCATAAAGAGCCATACACCAAGCCAAGCAGCACACAATTACTGTACCAGAAAACCTTGTAACCCCAGTTGGAGTTTACCTTTAGAACATTATTTTGGGGGAAGACTCTTTAAACTAGGTCATCAAGGTGCTGAAAAAAGAATTTGTAAAGTGGCTTAAATCTTATAAATGACCTTTTGCAAAATATATCTAAGAAAAAGAAATTGCAGAAGAACCAGATGTCTTAAGGAGAAGCATTCTGCCGTCTTCTCTGTTAGTATTAGATAAGCAGATGAAAGTGGTTTTTCTTTTATCACTTTTTTTAGCAGCACCATACCACCATTGTAAAGTTATGAGCATATATTTGTTTTGCAGTGTGTGTGTGTACAATTTTGAGAGAAAGGGATACTGTACTGTCAGGGTTGCAAAAAGTGTTGCAATAGAAATGTAATGAACTTTAACAATGAGAAAAATACTAAAAAATACACAATAAAAATACAATAAATAAACCAATGTGTCCAATTCAGAAGAGAGTGAAGGCACTGTATCTAAGTACTGTACTGTAACTCAGAGGATAAGTGAGAATAACGCAAGAACAGCAAAAATCACTGTAAGGCATCAACATAAATCACACAAGCCTTCAATGAAAAAACATGATATATTCCAACTACAATATATTTAAAAAAATAAACTTAAGCTCTAGTTGAACACAGGAACTTCTCAAAAGAAAGAAAGAGCTCTGGTAGTCCAATACACAAAGCTGTAACTAAGTATTCAAAGTAGTAATGATAATATACTGTATGAGTGTGGCAAAAATGTTCTTGGCATGCACAGCTCGATCAAAACATCAATGAAAGTTTGAGGCATGCTGAAATCACCCTTCAGAATAAAAGGTTAGGTTAGGTTTGCTTTGCTTTTGATCGAACTGAGCATGCCCAGATCATTTCCAATGCAGTGCAATCTCAACACGTGAAAATGTGACTGGAAATAATGTAGGGCTACAGTGACTGAAGGCCTTAGGAGGGAAATATTAAGTTGCCAAGTGCTACCAAGGTGAATTAAAATGTCAGAGGTGGAGAGGGTGTGTGCATGTATACTAACATACTCTCAACAATTACAGTTTCAGTCAAACGTTAAGAAATAACCTTATCTGAAGCTATTTATAATTAATAACTGTATTTTTCTCAAATATATATACAGTCAACCCTCGCTTTACGCGGTCCCACATTACGCGTTTCCACGTTTACGCGGTACCTGCCGAAACCGGAATGCTCACATTCCGCGATGCGTGTACCCTTTACGCGGAGAGCGGCTGGCGAGCCGCGCCATTTTTGGATTCAAGCCTCCCGCCATCTCTCCCGCCATGTTGTGTAAGCGGCGCGAGCAGGGTGCGCACAAGGTCGCCCAGTCATCAAAACATTACCGAGTTCTTCACCCGCCACCCACCACAGCCGGCCCAAGTCAGTGATAATGATAGTGAGGATATGGACTTATATGGACTTTGAGGGGTTTGACAAAGAGGCCCTGCAAGCCTCTGTGGTGGATAGTGATACAATTGATACAAGTAATACAGGTGAGGGCCAATAATCTGCCCTCTGCCTCGGAACCAACCCCCCATCCCCATGTGCCCAGCCATCTTTTCTACTAATGTAAGTGTTAAAAAACCTAATATTATTGATAATTCTCTTAATTATTAATTGTGTGTGCATACCATCATAAAATTAAGAAGTTATTCTTACTACAACGTAGGTATTGTGTCTGAAAAAGTGGAGTTTGGGGGTCGGCCCGGTCTCTATTTCAATTAATCCCATTGTTATGTTGTTCACTTTACGCGTTTCTCACTTTACGCGGGCTGCCATGGGTTGAATTAACCGCATAAAGTGAGGGTTCACTGTAATAAATTTTCATTTCTATCAATAAGGTATATTTCTAATTTTCCATCTTATTATAATAAAGTTGAGAGACAGGTTTAGTAAAAAAATAAATAAATAAAAATAAAGGTACAGGTATACTGTATTGCCCTTTTGATATACAGTACAGTATTACGATAGCATTACTGGTACTGTACAGGTATTTTCTGCACATTCTAACTGTACAGTACTGTATTAATAAAATCACCATCTTTGCTTTTGTTTACACTTATTTTGTCTCTCTGACTTCGTATGTTTTTGTTATTTCTGACTTAGTGTGTAACTCAATCATGCCTAAACACCCCAGTGATAGTTCCTCTTGTGCTGATCAACTTGATATGATGTGATTAAGCATAATAAGCATGGTGACGGACCAGCAATGAGTGCCAGACTTGAACTTACTACCCTAGACCATGTTTATTTAAGGCTTATTATGCTTGCTTTATATGTCTGCTTTATTTCTTGCAAGACAGTGTGCAGTACAGAGATATATGAAGGGTAGATGGGAGTTTTTGGAGAGTGGCCGGTCCCTAGCCCCCTGAATTTCTTATGTTCTTACGGGATTAGTTGCTTCGATAACCGATGATTCACTAACGAGAGACTTTTCCTGGTCCCTATATGCGTCAGTTATTGGGGTATGCTTGTATTAAATTGAGTTAAGCAAAAAGATGGGATGAAATTGAAAACAAAGAAGACAGCTCGTAGCAATGGCATGCTGAACTGACTATGGCACACCTCTAATAAGACCTGCCTCAAGATGGCACCTTTGCTTCCAATCTCCCTCTTTGGAGATTGATGACTGTGACAGGGAAGGATGGTTGATCATAAGATCAGCCTCCAGCTGTCAAGTGGGGGAAATGTGTGATGTCAATTCCACATAACTGGCTAGCAAGTAATGAGAGATGTTTGATGAAGGCATAAAACAATAAATATACATTTAACAATTTACGTTGGTTAGATCCATTCACAAGAAGTTAGTTTCGTAATTGTTTATTAACACATCCTTTGATAGCTAGAATATACCCAGAATATCCTGCAAATTAAATGCATTTCCCCTATTGCCCTGTAATCAACCCAGAATCTTCCCAATCATATCTATCCCAAGTTACAGGCAACTTATAACATGGACTTCAATGCAGGGTCAAACATTAAATGAAAGATAGATAGTCAGTGTGATTTGCAGTGAAATATGAGCTATGCATGTACAGTAGTTGTCAAATGTGCCCACCAGGGTGCAGTACCAACCTAAAAGATGACCACACACACACACGTGCACACACACACACGCGCACACGCACACACGTGCACACACAACACACGTGTACACACACACACACACTTTGAACTATTTCATGATTTAAAACCAAGTTGTGAGTGTGTTCTTCAGTAAATTCAAACAAAATGGTGAGGATTGTACAAATTTGTCCAAAGACAAAGCCTTCCCCGAAAAATGTTGCTAAAACATAGTGCATTCCAAATCTGAAACAAGCTAACTGTGGCAAATGTTGAAATTATACTTAAACACAAGCTCCCTCACAAAAGCAAATTAATCTTAATGCCACCATGAGAGGGTAATATCACCCTAAAGGGCCTAAAGCAACACAATGCACTGCCCAATTAAAATACAGTTGTACACTGAATCTGAAGTATATACCTGTACTAAAAAAAAGAAGAAAAAAATCTAGATATCTATAAATGAAACTGAAGGAGCCAAAATTCTGTTAATGAAAATTATTGTAACTACAGGTGTAATAAAAAAAGAAGAAGCCACATACCCTAACCTAAACAATACAGCTAAACGAATGATACTGTAGTAGGTGGGAGCCAAATTAGTTAACTACTTGTGTGGGTATCTTACACCAAGTGAAGTAAATCACCCAAATTCAATACAGCAAAATACTTAATGGTGAGAGAGGTGATTGAGGTGACTCTACTGAGACATAACTGTACATGGTTAGTTAATGGTAGAATGAATAAAAGACAAAGACAGATATTACTGAACTGATGGCAATGAATGCCATTTCATAGCAAGATCAAGTGTAAAAGTTCACATTTCCAAATTTTACAACCATGATGAACTAATATGAAAAAGTTTATCACAGTCAATGGTGCATAATATATTAGGTAGATATGACAGTAAATGTACCAAGATAATTGTTAAAACTGATAAATACTCCCCAAACAGAAGTAAATATCTATTTCTGACCTTTATGATACCAATCGGGCTCATTGCAATCCCCTGTCTTGTTGACACTGATCTTTCTGTAAATTATCATCAAATCCATTTGTTCGTTGAAAAGTAGTCATGTGGACCAGAACTGTGGGACAGGTGGATGAACAGATGAATGAAATAACATTCACAACTGCAACTAAATTCTTTTCCCTTCCTGAAGCAAATTGTTACAAGAATAACCCTTTAAGCAAAGTTAATGACTCGCCATCAGTTGTATTGTGTCTATAAAAAATTAACGTAGAAGGAAAGCCTCTTTAACCCTTAAGCCCAGGGTGACATTCCAGAACGTCCTACCAGCGCGCCCCGGGTGACGTTCCAGAATGTCCGCCTAATCCCGAAACCGTTTAAATGCCCAGCACAGGTTATCAGGTTCCACTGTGAATATTTGCCTGTCATACCACACGCTTGGCCACAGGGAAGCTTCCTGAACATAATTACCTATTTTTGTTTTTTCTTTTTTATTGTTTGAATTTTTTTCATTTTGTATCATAGTAATATTGCTAAAAGTAGTGTAGTTGTATTGTAGTGTAGTATTACTGTAAAATAATGCGATGATTATTTTATAAATGTTTTCATTTGTGAAATAATTATTATTTTATGCATTACTTGCTCTACCAAACACAAAGACAGCCAGGCAGACTGGCGAGTGTTGCAAAGCACTTTTTATGAAAAATATAGCAAATAAATTAATCTAAACTAATTATTTATAGCAAATAAGTATTAAGAGCAGTAAATATATAAATTATATTATTGGCCACCTCAGACACAAAGGCAAGCTAAAAATAGCTGCTAAGTGCATAGGGACCACGAGCGTCAGCTTTTAAACTAACACTGTCTCCTTATCTCCCCCCATCCTCCCTCCCTCTACACAGTCAGAGAAGTATCTAAAGGGTCAATATATATTTTTTCTTACTTATTTTTTATTGTTTTTATAATTTGAAAAGGTTCAAAATTATTTTTGGAAAAGTGGATTCTTCTCGATTTACCAATGCACGGGGGGTAGTGCCAGCGGCACCCTAACCCGGGGATTAAGGGTTAAGTAATAATAGGACAAACTTTGTATAAAAATAAAAAATTTGTCTAAGTTTCTATAAATATGTATAGAGCTGAAGGGAAAAAATTTTCTTGTGATTCTTGTAATTGTTCCATAATTTTGAATCAGGAACTTATAATTGCATGTCGGATCAATAGGGGGCCATAGCATGGAAAACCAAATGAAAGTTGCCAATATCAAATTTTACCTAGTTATGTAAATACAGTACTGAGGTTTGTATAAAATTGTAGATGAGATTTATTTAGGTATTCTGTAGTTATTGAGAGGAAACTCATCTATAGATTTCTTAACCTAAACAATGGTGAGCTTGCAAATACTGTACACCGTTTTGTCTTGCATTTTCTATAAAGCCGTGAGCCCATATACTTATGAACAGCATGCCAAGTTTTGTACTTTTAACTCCCAGTTTAAATCTCAAGCTATCTATCAACTTGTCAAACTAACATCACACCCTGCCACAATTTGCTTATTTCTTTGATATAAAAGGCTTTCAATTAACCAAACAAATACCAGCCACAGATCTCTAAATAGTAACCCATTATTACCACTAAATGTGGCTTACTTCAATAAGCTATTCTTTTATATAAGCTGACTTGGAATACACAAGACATGAGACAACTAACAATGCAAATCACTGATACATGACAAAATAAATATAAAACTGCAAGTATTTTACACAGAATAAAATAAAAACACACAGACTACAATATTTTAAACACAAAGACCATCAGGGAATATCTCTCACCTTAGGATGAGAATAATCCTGGTAGAGTTCTGCGGGCTGCCTTTCTCTTGTTATAGGACTTCCTTCTAAAGTGCTCAAAGGGCCACCATCAACCGTGAATCCATCCTCCTCCAATGGTCGTGTTCCATAACTGCGTGGCTGGATATATGAGTAACTTGTCTCCACTCCAGATGGAGCGTCTCGCAGGACAGGCGGAACAAACTTACACGCCACTTCTGCTGTTGTGATTTCCTCATCGTTTCCATCATCACTAACAGATGCAGTATCACCATTTGCATGACCATTGCCAAACTTCTACAAAGATATGAAGACATAAATTAAGAAAACAAATTATATGCCCTGATAAATACTGAACTTCTGATAAATCTGTTAAAATACCTTATAACAACCACACTAAAACTTTAAAAAATTCAAAACCTTAAAAATCTAGAACTACTGTACATGTGTAAACCAATCTGGATTTAACATAAAAAAATAAATTCTTTGTAGATATTTGGATACCATTTTTAACAAGATAATTAAATATGCAGTACAGCATTAGAGTACATATGAAGTTTGAAGACAGTCAAAACTGAAAAGAAGCTTTACACGAGAGAAGTATTAGAGAAGCAAAAGTACTCGAGTATAACACTTAGGGGGAATACTAAGGCAAACAAATATATACCTTATACTCCACAGGGCTTAGATCCTTGAACCAGTGGAAGGCGTTGTGGGTGATAAACACCAGGCATGTTATAATGAGTAAGATGATGCTGTATATAGTAATATCTTTTTTCAAACCTTGTCGTATAAGAGAGAGGAACAGAAGACTGAGTTGCAGACAAACAATGGACACTATTACAAAGTTGATGGCTGAGGTGTGGATGTTTTTGTTAATTCTTGAGGGCCCATAAGCAAAGTAGATATTGTACTTGTCCACCAGGTGTTTGAAGACCATATATAATGTACCTGTGAGAGATATGAATGACAATAATTTGCACATAAACTTCCATTATGGATATTAAAAGACTGACCAAAAGTTTGTATTTTTTACACACTTAGTCTGACAAAAATATGAGTTCATAACCTGAATTATCTTATTGTCTCAATGGTTCTATAAATAACTACAAGCCATTCTCTGACTCAAAATGGGTTGAAAAAAGTGAGTCCCATGGGCAGTGTAGATGTAGCAGTATAGTCAGCATTAACTCAACTGCCTTCACTTCTACTGTAAATTTGAGTACCCAATCACAGATGGGTGAACTGGGGGTGCCCTAGACATGAATCACCAACCTTACGGACAGGAGGTGAAAGCTCTATGGATAATCTATGGAACATACAGTAACCCTACATATCAACACACATGTACAGTATTTAGTCTCAATTCTACCATACACATACTACTGTACACATATATATTCTTTACTGATTAGCTTTCTATTTCTTGTTTTTTCTTCACGTTTTGCACATTCATTTAAATAAACTTTTCTAATTGCTCCACCCGTCACTTTTGCCCAGTACATATCCATGTCATCAAAGCTTTACATGCCCAAGAAATGCTATAAAACATTAGCATTTCGCCCCCAAATTCTTCTTTCTCTCTTAAATCTTAAAATATAATTAAAAACTTTAACTGTATTCCTTTATATGACACATACTATAATAATGTAAATCTAATATCCATCCAAAATATTTTAGCCTAGTTTCAGATCTTTCAAGAAAAACTATTGGAGGAATTAATTTTAGAACAGGATAAACAGACATGCATGACAATCACACTGTGTCATCATGTCAATGAAGGGAGTATATAAAAAAAAGAACAAGGGAAAATTTGTTCGAATAAGCAAGAGGATTTCTCCTTAACCGAGTGACATAAATGTTTGAACATGAGGAACAGATGATGTAACTTTAAAAGACAAATCAAAGAATAAGGTCTACAAAATGCAGCAGACTCCTCAGACAAATTGGTCAGATTAACATTCTCAAAAACTGCAACCCTAAATTTTAACCCTGAAAAAAAAAAAGAACTTGTAGACCTCTGAGTTGTATGGAGGATGCTAACCAAGTTGCAAGTTTTACTTAAGTTTCAGGTCAAAACTTGTACACATGCATGCACAGATGCATTTGGCAAGGGCTATCACAAACCACTTGGCCAATAGATAAACATGGGAAACTAAAAAATCTAAGCCATTACATACCAAATGGGGTAATGAGTGGACATGAAACTGAGTAGATAATGGTCAAGGCAAAGTTCAGTAACATCCACGCATACTGAACACCAAATGGAAACTCGTAGAGGATTGCTCGTCGCACACTGGCAGTTTCAGCTTCAGATCTGTAATTAAATAAAATTTAATTACTAATGTAACTACAGTACACATTAATATTCAGGAAATATATTAATTTAACAGGGAGTTATTTTCATCTATTATTCAGTGTATTCTACAAACACAATTTATTACAACATATTAGGCACAGCAAAGATTAAGATGTCAAATACAATTACATAGCTCTACACCTGTTGTAAAGGTAATAGCCCAATTATTATATCTGGCCATAAAAGTGAAAGCCTTTACTGTACACTACACATAACTTCAATGTTTTATAACTAGGCCTTACCTGGTAAGAGTTAGTCTCATTATGTACATGAATAACTCTGGGAACCGAATGAGCTCAAGTGATGTTCCAATGAAGGCAGAAGTGATGACATAGTTGACAAAGAATGCACCATTATCAGGGAGGAAAATGCATTCCCAGCGGATAGTCTCATTATTTGAACTTTGCCTGAACAGCGATTCTGCTAAACCTTTTATACTGAAAGAGGTACCAAGACTTTAATTGTGTATCTCCAGTTCATTAATTATGTACAGTAATCATTTCATATTACTGACCAAGAGAGCTAACATACATATTAAAATTTTTCCTATGGGATGAGTTAGCGCGCACACACACACACAAAAAAAAATGTACACCATATTCTGAATATAGTAATTATACAGTGTACACTACAATGGATAAAATCTGATCCCGACATGAGTTTTTACACTTTCAAGGTAATTTACATGACTGGTATCGTGCAATGACTGTCTACTATCTTAATGTGTGCTCTACTTGACACAATAACATCCTCATGTGTGCTCTACTGACACAATAATATCCTTGTCTCTGAACTAGCATATGCTTGTTTGCTTCTAAAGGTTATCAACACATATCTTTACAAAAGGCTTGGATAAATCCCTATACAGCTACTCCTCGACTTACGACATACTCGACCTACGACCACCAAGACATACGACTGCCTCAGTCATACCAAAATTTTGTCAAATTACGTATTTTCGAGTCCCAACGTTAGTGAATTACGCTGTGTACTGACAAATTTTTGTTTGTAATTCATTTTAAAATGGCTGGCAAGCTTAAAAGTGAGAGTTTTGTGGTGCTGAGAAGAAAAAGACACCCATTTTAGATTTTCTATGTATTATTTAAGCATTTTCGACTTATGACCAATTCGACTTAAGACCTGGATTTGGGTCCCTAACCCCGTCGTAAGTCGAGGAGCAGCTGTATACAGTATATGCTTGAGAAACCAAAGTGGGACAAGAAAAACACCCCTTGCAAATATTCTATAATTACTGACAATCCCCACACCTTCAAGTGCTGAAATCCCAACAAGGTCAATTAAAATAATCTGAAGAATTCAGTGGAGTCCAGGCTGAACACATTGTATGTCAAATATAATTTTTTTATTTCTATCTAAACTAAACAGTTAAAACAGTTCTCAAAATCTTCTGGTTTACAATGCCACCTATAGTCACACATACAAATATACTCACATAAACATGTGCATATACAAGTATACTGTACATACATGTACAGTACTGTACACGTAAACTTGTACAAATTTCTACCTCATTTGACACTATTTTCTGCATTATATTTATAGCAATCCTAAACATTTCTCTCTTTATGAATCCTCAAGGCTAACTTCACCTTTGTACTCATTACCTCATTACTTTCAGTTATTTATGAGACCAAGGCCAGCTTTTTAACCTTGTGACTTACCTGGTCAGCCCAAGTGAGGGCAATATGATGACCATGAAAAGAAGGAAGATGAAAGTCTTCCTCATGATAGAGTGGTTCTCTGAAGAACGTGTCCAATGGGACATGAACTGGTCTGAATAAGACACAATAACAGGCATAAGCGCAGCTATGATCCATATAAACAAGGTTGGAAAGAACTCTGACAGAACTGGGCTCTGTTGAAAAAGAAAAGAAAAAAATTAATTGCCTTCTATCATCAACCACATACAGTTCATAAGTACACAGGGTGTTACAGTTGCACCAAGAGCTAAAACACTGTACAATATATCCATTTATTAGCTCATGTTACGTGAGACAAGTTTATCATAACTTGGCTCATGTTACGTGAGACAAGTTTATCATAACTGTCTTATTGCCTGAATACTTAGGATCTAATAAAAATCCAAATTATTCTGATTTATGAGTGATACTTCTATACCATTCATCCTTACACTTCATACACAATTCAAGCTCTCTCTCTCACTAAGTTGAAGGGTGGCCAGAATCAGAAACAAATTCAAATTATATTTGTTTGCAGACATTCAGTCACACTTACTGCTGTAACATCTTCATGAACCCCTCAACACCACACTCACCAACTGCTCTCATACTCTTCTACTTCTTAGCTGTCCATCATCCTCACTTAACTGATGTGGTCTAAATGTTGGGGAAGATGACTTGGTAAAATCCAATTCCTTTTGACTGAAAATACTGTATTACCTTAAAAATTACTGTAGAGCAGTTACATTTCATTAAAAAGTGTAACAAGTGTTCTTTACCACATCACGTTGTATATTTCTCCAACCTACCACCAATTATGACCTCAAGTGGTGCTTTTACTGTAACATTCACATCCTCTGCCATGAATTACACTTACCAGTACAGACACTACAGTTTCTGTACCAACAATGCTAATCTAACACAAGCAGCATACATCTTCAGCTGAGATGAGTACAAACTGTATAAAATTTCACAATCACATCAGTATTGTGTTTTATCTTGTTAGGTTAGGTTTTGGGGTGAGTTCTTCAGACTGGGGCTCATTCTCAATTTATACCATGGGTTTTTGGGTCAAATATTGTTGGAATGAAACAACTCTGTTTTTACCATGAGACAATAATCATCATTGTTTTATGGCAATTTTCCATGCTTGCATGGGTTAGCTGTGATAACTTGATGGCATGGTGTCCTAAATGCCATCAGACAGATAAATTTTAATCCTATCTTACTACATTACATATTACTGACTAAGTAACCAACAATGCAAAAATGTATTATACCATTTTATCCCTTGGAACGTAAAATATTTGGCAAAAATTTGTCTGTTCATTTTGTCCAATTAATAATTGGCACCTTTATACTACATCTTCTGTAGATTCCCCAGCTTTAATAGTCATCACAAATACAATTACAATACCTGTACTGTACATACAGCTTTAAGACAGGTAACCACTAAAGATAAATGCACAGGAATTCTTACCAAGTTGTGAAGTTTTCCAGAGAGGGGGATAATATCGAGAACATTGATGAGGACAAAAGGTGTTGTGAGGAAAAACAACACCACGAAAAGAATAAGATTGAGAAGAACTGCCTTCAGCCACCAATGACGATTCGTTACCGAGAGGTTTCCCCTGAAAAAATCATCATATGTTACAAATGCTTGCTGTAGTCTTACATTACTTCTAACTTAGGATGTAAGTGTAGTCTTTACAGTGTAAAGAGAATAACAGTTGATCATGCTTTGATAAGTCTCTATGTAATATATGAAATTTACATATTCAGTACATATCACAATAAGTCTTATTCTTAATAATTTTCAACTCCATAAAATTAAAGGCTTCCCAAATCATTTTACACTTGAAACATACCAGCTTAAGTAAAAGTGGCATAACTTTTCAATTTGAATTTTAGGTACAATAGCTCTGAATTGGAAATTATTAATAACAGCAATATGTGCAGACAACAAAAGCAACACCATGCCACTAAAGCCAGTTATACAGCATGCACAGGTCCAGGACCAGTCCCTGGTAGATCATACTCGTATGATCAATGATAGGTTTGGGTTCAGATTCTCTAAGGCTTGTACAATGAATATTACAAGAAATATATATTGAATGAACTCGAATCTGGATCCATAAGCACCACTGAGTGAGAGTGGACATGACACGATATTACATAACTGCATCATTCACAACTAAGTGCCACCAGTGTCATGGATCTTGCAGTGTTGGAATGCAACTGTGTTTTCCCTAAGTTTATGGTTCACACATACTGTATATCAATTACTTATATCTTGAGGCACCTATCAAGATACATGGTACAATGATGTAGCAGGAGCCTACTGTATATACTGAAGACACAGCCATTATCACAACACACGAGGGAGACACTGGAATGAATTCTTTATCTCCTAACTCAAACAAAACTTCCTTATCATGACTGTCTTTATATACCATATCTTGCAGTCCATTCTCCTTCCTCAACCTAAGTCGTCTTCTATGCACCAACAATGGCCATCTCCCATGCAGATACTCATTGTCATATTTTACTTGTCAATCCCATGCTTTCAGTCTATTCACATTCCAGCACAGTATTCTACTTCAAAAACCCATCCTTCACTTCTTGATTATTTTAATGGAAATCATTCATCCTTACAACGTATACTCTCCCTCATTTTAAAGGGGAATACCGCATATAATCTTCCCTATACACTCTGTTACACAATTTCCAGAGGTAATCCCTAAAAATGCTGAAAAAGACATGGCTGGATGGACTGATATTACTCTGATTGCCAAGTCAAACTTCTATAACTGGGCTCAATGCAAAACTTATGGGTTAGTTCTACCATCATGTGGGACAAGCACCAAGTGCTAGCACTAGGAATATTAGAATTTTCTAAAGCAATGTCGATTAGAAGAAGACTGTTAGAAGAAGACTGGAATGATGCTGCAGCATGGATATTGTTTAAAAAAAATCTGTTTACTTTCATCATAACTCAGTGCAGTATTGTACTTCCAACTACAATCAAGGCCAATACAAGCCTATCATTTGGTGCAATTTTGTATTCATGAAATTTAAAGCTCTTAATGCTTTCAACTGCCAAACCCCTTGGCTCAAGTTACCTATTTTGTAGTCCGAGCTTAATTCAAAACCAAATTTTACCAAACTATATTGCAGTATAATACCCCTTTAACCCTTAAATGGCAGCCATCATCAGTGGAAGTTAGCTACAAGGTTGGCAGTCAACATCAAAGGATGTTTCATGTTCCTTGCATTCCAATATTTGCACAAATAAGGGCATCCTTAGCTACCATTTACAGGTTAAGCAATCCTTTACTAACCTACATATTCATACTTTTAATTTTCAACATTTCTGTCAATTCAAAGGCAATAAAACATTCCTACCTACTGTACCAGTATTATTTTCAATATTCATTGTACACACAAGAATCACTAGAGTTAGACTCACCAATAGATATCTTCAGGAGCTGGTGCAACCCTGATGATCCAGTTGTGTGGTTTTAGCTCCACTGATACAGAGGAAGTGGGAGGAATCTTTAAACAATCACATTTAGTTTTGTGATCAAGCATAACTTTCTTCGCATTTTCAATAGAATCAAATGTAACATATGCTACACCTGTAGGTCGCTGCATAGCTTTGACTTTCTCATTCTCAACATGGTTGGACAAGCGAGCTTCTTCTTCTGCATAGTATTCAATGGCATCCACCTAAACAACAAAACCTATTTTCAGCATTCAATATTTCATTGTTACATCATGTTCTTCATTATGTACCTAAAAATATTCAAAAAATGAGGATGTCAATTTGGGAAAGTAATTCCTTTCTAAAAGACATAAATATAAGCTTCTATATATCAAATAAGGTTTAATTTTCCTCATTACATAACTGTATACTGTACAATATTACACCTTTCACACATTACATAAAAAATGTGAGACGAGGTAGATAAAGTCAATAAAACATTTGAATACTGTACTGTACTTCAGAAAATATCACTAAGTAACATGAAATGAATGAAAAAGAAAAGGATAATCTTGTCAATGACTTTTGCTTATAAATACCCTGCACAAATAATAATTAAAGGGTACAATCTTTTGCATTTATTTTTTTCTCTGTAATTTTATAAAAAAAAAAAAATTTCTACTGCAATTAATGCAGGGTGACCAAAAATTAGCAACATACACACAAATTTTCTCTTTATGTTCAGTACTGCACATCCTTATATTTCTTATTTATTTATACAGAATATTTAGTTGTGAAAGTGGGTCCCATACACATGACTGCCCATTAGTGACAGTGTGGATACAGCACACTGTATACTAAACCTTCGGTACACAAGAAGGCAGCATGGCCAGTACTACACTCGACCACATTCACTTCCCCAAGTTGTAAATTTAGGTACTGTACACATTTACAGCTAGGAGAACTGGGATTTCCCAGGGATCAAACCATTAACCCCTGGAACAGGAGATGAATGCCGTATTCACTTAACCACCACACTTCTATCTATAAAAGGTACAACAAATAAATCCTTGCACACAGCAAGAATCTCATTTCACGTTTTCCAAGAACAGGTTCTTTGGTGGACTAACCTTGTTAAGATTCATTTTCTACGCTTACATAAATAGCCATGATTACTATGTAGCACGGTATACCAGTTGCCATCAGGTAAATTTGAAGCAAGTTTTACACTAAACAACTTTAACAATGGGAATTGGGCATTATTTTACATGCAGGACTTCCAAGTATCCTATTAGCTGGCAAGGCAGGGTTGTTACTCCTTAAGGTAATCAAAGATTACCCACTTACTTTGTAACAGAATGAATTATGTACAGTATTGTGGTTTTGGGATAGAAGCCATCAAGACTTAGACTGCTATTCCCACTTTTTTTTCAAACTCTGGGTCTACCTAGAGACCATCAGGTCCCAGACGGACACTCCCAGAGCTTGACCAACACGGTCATAAATTAAAAATATGTAATTGATATATTTCATCAATTTAATATCTAGCTGTAAATTTTCATGTGTTAACAAAATTATACACATGTATTTTTTTTTTACAAAACTCAAAGTATAATATACAGAAGTAAGCAACCCTAAGCTTTGTTTATTCACACCACATCCTCTACCTTTTTCTTTATTTCCAAACTTACTTATCTTCAGTTATGTTTTATTTCTCTTATGTCTATTAATACCATAAACAAAGGAATCTCTTATTTCAAAATAAGCACAACATATTCTTAATACAGTATACAACTTACAGTTGGACAACCAAATATGTCACAGCAGCCACAGATAACTCCACATCTATATGGTCTCATATCAAGGCGTCTATTTGTTTCTTTCAGGTATGCCTCACAGAACAGCTTTGCATTCAGGGCCACTTCCCTAAAAGTAAATAAATATTTTTTAAACAAGGTGTTCTCTGTCCAGGAACTTCCAAAACACTGCCCTATCCTGGACAGAAAACAGCAAATTACACCCTCACAACTTTCCCTGTCTGGTGAGTCATGCCTATCTTCTTTAATTACATTCTGACATTATCCACATTATATGATAACATTAATTCTCTCTCTAAAAATAAAAGAAATCTTTACAAAAAAGCATTACAAAAATGTGAAAAAAAAAAAAAAAACATTTAATTTAGTTTGAAAATATACCAGTAGTAGAGTACAGGGCAGATAAAAATGTAAAAATTTCAACATTTTCAAAGATGTAAAAATATATTCATATTACCTCTCCTTATCATAGGCGATGAGGGATCTAATATCATATGCAAACTGGACATCGTGGACCTCAATTTCAGGATAGGCCTCTCTGAAAATAAGTAAATGGATATTTGACACCACAGCACTGGAATGAGAAGAAAATTGCCAACTGAAGTACAAAACAATATTAAAAATTAAGCTATAAATTATCATATCTAAAGTATCAAACAAATGGGTTATTAAACCTAGAAACATTAAACAAGCAGAGTTACTGTCGACTTACTGGAAATGTTTTAAAATTGTGTCCTTGTGACAAGATCTCCGTGGTACCCTTGTAATCATGAGTGTGCGAGAGACACTGGTTGTGACTTCACGAAGTTCAAGTTTCTTAGAAAATCTTCGCGTGAACAAGATTCCAAGAGGCAAGAAAAGGAAGGCCAGGGTAACATGTACCCACATCAATCGAGATCTGAGGGTACATAATAAAATGTCATGTACCAAAACAGAGTTATGAATATGTGCTGTAAATCCCACTAGCCCACTAGTTTTAGTACTTAAAAGTATCACAAAAGGATACCAGGCCTAACATCTTCATCCAAAAATGAAGAAAAATTACTTCAGTAAACAAATACAAGTCATAAGCTGAAATACTAATGATGGCTACATCAAAAATTTATGTAAAGAAAAGGTAAAGAAATTTAAAGCTCCACTTCCATAATAAAGTGTTGCATGTTATTATGTAACCTGAGAGTACGTACAGTATTAAACATTTCTATGGTTCCTATGAAGCTTGTATACTTTAAAAGAATTCTGACATGATCAATGGAATTTTTGGAATCCTAGGTTTTCTTGTGAAAATAGCATGGAGAAAAAATATAGTGCAAATTCTGGAATTAGATAAGAAAATTTAAGGGTATTGTATTGTATTTGAAGAAACACAGCAATTATAAGATTCTGCATAACTGATGTAAAGAAATGAGTGGGTGGTTCAGAAAGTAATGATCAGGAATGGTCAAGAATATGGGTAAAGAAATACACGATATCATAGCTTTCTGATGCATTTCAGTAACAGGTTTCACAATACTGTATACAAAAATATAATAAATTTCTTACTCACCGAGGACTAAGGTTGGCCAAGGTGGTGTGGCCGAATTCCTTCTCATCACCCGCAAGTGTTCCTTGAAAGTTGATCGGTAGAACAATGACAATACTGATGACACACACTATCATCATGTATACAATTATGTGACGCTGAAAGGACAGGTAACTGATGGCATCTCTTCCACTCTTCGTCAAAATCTGTTCATCTCTGCAGATTAAACATTTATGACCACTCAACATATTCCTGTCTTGCAATTCATATTATAAAACACTCTTGCATAAATAAATACAAAATATTGTATAATCATGCAAGGAATAATATCACTCTGGAATGATGTTGGCACCTTATCAACTTTGGCACCTCTGCACGAATGTGTACATTCATATTTATACACTTATAATTACAGTAATATGTGGATTTTCTTCTTATTTATATATACATACTGGTAAGTTTATGTATTATATACACAATTTACACAATTCCACCACACTTTGGTAAAGGTTTAATCTGTGGCAATGCTCAAAGCATGGCTCAAGGTAGAGACCAGTGTCACAGAGGCAAGAACAGTAGTAGCCTCTGGCCATCATCATCCAGCAAGTTGTCAATGATCACTTTATGCCATTGCTTTCTTAAATTTTCAGAGGGTTTTCTTTCAGATTTGACCAGGTGTGAAATATAAATCCCCAGGGGTATATATACTGCACAGTACCTACAACACCATGGTTGATATGATTTGCTAGTACAGTTCATATTTTTAAGTACACTACCTAACCTCTGATGAATTAATCACAGTGCTGTTAGGGGAGACAATAATAACCAAATCTATGATAAAGTAACAGTCAATAACAGATATTAGAGCAAAAAATGTACACAGTACATACAATCTGCTCACTGTTACCTACATGTCTATCACAATCCAATCCTAGGAAATAGGAAGCTAACAATACTCATTCTCTATCATAAATTACTTACTTGATTTTGAACAATGCCAGGATCCACGAGAACAAACCCTTGTCTATGTGCATGTTGAACTCCAGGGAGGACACAGAGTCAGCCTCCCCTGCCACTTTTCCCATGTCAGTCTCTTTCCCATAGAAGATTTGTGTCCACCTGAAAAATATGCCAAGTTGGGCATTGTATGTAATACTTGTTTAATCAAGACATAAGATGATGTACTGAATGTATGTTTTGATTCCTAATTTCCACTGTTTCAAAGAATAATGGTACTGGTAAAGCCTTGCAATTACTGTAATCTCATGATACAGTACATGGCCAAGTTCGCATCCTTATCTTCACAGTTTTAAAATGTAAACAAGAAAAAATGTATCAATTGAGCATTTATTCAATGGACAGGTACATAAGCACAGAAATATATAATACAGTCTGAAAAATAACTGACTTACTCCAAATTTTCCTTCATACATTAAAAATCCTTAACTGTTACATATTCTAGCATCAATGTTAGGAAGAGCATGAGTCAAAGCAAGCAAACCTTGATACCTCTATCCATTCAACACTTTTATTTCATTACTAATTCTGTTTATTTCTCTAGTGTTCATTCAATGGTTAAAAATAAAATACCAGCAGGTTTCAAGAAATTTTTTTTACAGCACAATTGGTGAAAATAGTGCTGTCTCACTTCTCTACCTATTCTTATTTCTCTCTCCATGTACACTCCTCCCAACTTTAGCCTCTCCTTCACTCCCACCTTTGTATCTTTTAGCAAGTCTCTTTCCTCTCAACTAATTTTTTTTTATACATTTCTCCTTACTAATTTGCTACCTTTCTCTCTTCTGCTCAGTAGGTTAGGTTAGGTATACAGTTCATGCATTATTTAATTCAACTTCTACCTCAGTTGTCTATCCACAAACTTTTAGTCTAACAACCCCTTTATCTTCTCCATTACCTCATCTCCAAGTACAGTATACTTAGGATTTTTTACTCTTTTTGGACTACCAGGTATTTTATCTGTTTCCTAGTATCAACAACTCCCTTAACACTCTTTTCTACATCACTATCTCTATTTCCACTCACCCGAAGCACTCTGTATATTACCACAAACCCTGGCCACTTTCCCATTACTAGCTGTATATTGAGTGCTTGAAAAATACATACATACTGCATATCCAGTATACATGTGGGGTGGTAAAGATTAAAACTATAAGGATTGCTATGATACAGTACAGTACTATAACCAAAATTTAAAGAATAACAGAAGAGGAAAACATACTAGGAACCTACACATTGTACTGACTGAAGCCAAGATGCTTTGTCCTGAAATGAGAAAAGCAAACAAATTGTGGATATACAGTAATCATAAAGGGCTGAAAAATTCCATTGAGCTAACAGCATGCAAAAGAAATAAAACAATTTGAAAAGCTAATAATTAAGCACTTTAAGCTACAACCAAATTAAAAAAATACAGCTAAGCATTCCATGAAATAGCATTCTTTACTTGCTTTGAAAATACTGTACTCCGCATTGAATGTCATACAGAACTTTGCAACAGGACATACAGAAATAAGTCTACAGTACAGTACATTAATATTTTAAGTATTGAGTAGTACAGAAATACCACTTTACTTTTAATTAAACTACCATAGAATATACACTCCATCCAGCTACAACACACATAATTCAGTTTCACATTTATCAATATTTGCAGAATTCCTACAATCAAAATTACAACCGATATGTGCCACTGCTATTATGTCTACAAAACAACTACAGTACTGCAATCATAATTTCCTTTCTAAAAAATGTTCTGCCCATGCCTATACTGTATCACATTCATACAACCTATTCTAGCCTTTTCCTTCATAACCCTAAGACGACAGCGATTGTAAATGAATGATCAGTGCCTTTTGTCCCTCATGAAAGTGATAGTAATCATCAGTGTAGGAGAAGTGTTTAACAGCCAGGAGGAAAGAAACCAGGAAAGGTAGATAGAAATGCTTCTCTATGTGTTACATGTGTACAGCATAGGCATGTACAGTATCATCAACACCAGCATGAGGTGTTCCAAGTGCATGAGACTGGAGTAGTGCCAATGATTTTGGTTGCAAAATCATTGTGGAAAAACAATGGCATAACACCACTGTGAATATATATATATATATATATATATATATATATATATATATATATATATATATATATATATATATATATATATATATATATATATATATATATATATATATATATATATATATATATATATGCTGTATGTATATTTTACAGTGGAGTTTGCATTTAAGCAGTCAATTGAACCCGTGGAGGCCCGCGTAAAACAATAAACGCGTAAATGAAATAACAGAACATATGAGATTAATTGAAATAGAGACTGGGCCGACCCCCAAACTCCACTCTTCCCGACACAGTACGTACGTTGTAGTAAAAATAACATCTTAATTTTATGATAGTTTGCACACACAATTAGTATTTAAGAGAAATACAGTCGCAGGTTAATGTCCATTCAAATAATGGACTCAACTCCCCCCCCCCTTCTTCCCACACTAGCTGGCTCCTCCCTCTATGAGGAATATTTTGAATATAAATGTCATATATTTTGCACAAAAGATAAAATTTTTGCTCTTTCTAATCAAAATTCTTACATTTAATCTAAAATTTGTATGTCTAATGCAAATTTTATGATGTTTATATTTAAAATAATCACAATCTTATAAGAATTCCAGCAATGTAAATTATATTCTGGCTGGGTAATTTGTATGAATTTTATGAGCTAAAACAAATATCTTCAGTAAATACAGGAAAAAAATTATACTTCACCCGCGTCAATGGCCAAATTTACAGCGTAATTAAAGCATTTCATTCTGGCAAGGCACAGCGTAAATGATCAAACGCGTAAATGTGCCAAGTCCGTTGACTTGCATGGTCAATTAGGGTGTGCCAAGTCCGTAGACTTGCATCGTTTTCCATCTAAAATAAAATTAACTGATGCCTTCCTAAAGAAACCATCGACACGGGACCAGGTTTGTTCCACTCTACGAATTTTTTGCGATTTTTCCACCAAGTTTGATGAAAAATTATTGTGCCGTTTCGGCTGCCCAGAACAGACACAGACACACACGCACACGCCTAGTCCTATAGTATATTGGATATATATTTTTTTTTTTGCCACGACTGTATGTTGATGCTCCATGCCCATAAACCTGTTCTTTAGGATTACTGAAAGAAATACAAGAAACTAAGAATACAGTTGGGTCTCACATTACGCGGTTAATGTAACCCGGAGGGTACCGCGTAAAGTGAGGAACGCGTAAAGTGAACAACATAACATATGGGATTAATTGAAATGGAGTCCAGGCCGATCCCCAAACTCCACTTTTTGACGACACACAACTATGTTGTAGTAAAAATATTATCTTAACTTTATGATGGCATGCACACACAATTAATAATTAAGAGAAATATCAATAATATTAGGTTTTTTAACACTTACATTAGTAGAAAAGATGGCTGGGCACACGGGGATGGGCGGTTGGTTCCGAGGCAGAGGGCAGATTATTGGCCCTCACCTGTATCACTTGTATCAATTGTATCACTATCCACCACAGAGGCTTGCAGGGCCTCTTTGTCAAACCCCCCAAAGTTCATATAAGTCCATATCCTCACTATAATTATCACTATCACTGACTTGGGCCGGCTGTAGTGGGTGGCGGGTGAAGAACTGGTAATGTTTTGATGGCTGGGCGACCTTGTGCGCACCATTTTCGCGCCTCTTACACAACATGGCGGATGGCGGGAGGTTTGGATCCAAAAATGGCGCGGCTTGCCAGCCGCTCTCCGCGTAATGGGGTTCACGACCGCGGAATGTGAGCATGTTAGGTTCCGGCAGGGCACCGCGTTAACGGTGAACCGCGGAATGCGGGACCGCGTAATGTGAGGGTTGACTGTATCTGTTTGTAAAGTGCAGTTCATGGACAGGGACAATTACTGACAGCACTGTCACGACCCAAATCCACATTTTCATCTTGATACAGTACCTTGTTTCTTTCATTTCTCCTCAGAATACATAAATGGTTTCTGTCTTAAAGAAATTTTTTATGAGCCTGAAATGTCGTAGAAGGTAGTGAGAGTCAGGAAAGTGATACCTTCCAATACATCTTATCATTTATTTTCAGATCAAATTACAGATTATATATCTAATATTTTCTATTATTGAAAATAATATATTATTTATGATGAATTGCACACCATAAGAGGCTGATCATACGAGAACATAATAAAGAATCAATAATAAAAACAAGTCCAAAGCGAGATTGCCTTGCCGCCCCCCCTCCGTCACATCTAGTAAATACTCATTATCTTCCCTCCCATTGTTTGTGTCTGTTATTATGCATACATTTCATCTTATTAACTCTCCTCCTTTAGTTGACAATCTTTCTTCCCTTTCTCTTCGCCGCAATGTTGCTTCACTTTCTCTCTTTTACAGGTACTTTAACGGGTCATGTTCGGTGGAATTGGCATCCTGTGTACCGCCGGCAAGGCCGTGGGCTCGTAACACACGTCTTGCCTTCAACACTCGGCACCGTGCTATCCCCCATTTACTCGGCATTATGATCTTTCCTCATTCATGCATTCAGTTACTTCCTGGATGTCCGGCCCATCCCAACCTAAGCCAATCCAACATAACCCAATCTAATGCTTCACTACCCGGGTCATTTAATCTTCCAGATAAAAGTTTGGGATGCTGATTTTGCTTGCACAGTAACATATTTAGTTCTTTAAGTGAAAAAAGAAAAAAAGAAACAGTACAGTAATACACTTGCATGACAGTTTAACCAACATGCTTAATGCTCCTACTGCTACAGGGTGTGCAAAACCAGGATTTATGGGGATGTGCAAGTCTTTCTATATGATTCAGTGTATACAACCTGCATTGCACACGTGCACGTCATGTACTGTACTGTATGTCACAATATAAAAAAATATTAATTACCATATAACTCATCAAGTATTAACATAGGGAAGATAATAAATTCCAAACTAAAAACACCATACTTAAATATGTAACATAAAATTATCCAATATCACAGCTATGGTAATACAGTAGACTACATTTATTAACTAGTTACAACTGATCAAGTGCTGTACAATACTTCAAGAGCAAAAATGTGGAAATATTGAAAAAATACAGTGAATCAATAGCAGACACATTCAAAAGGTAAATAAAAAAGAAGCTCACTGCAAAAATTGCCATCACTAAATAGGTACTTACCTGCTCTCATACTTCTGAACTAATGCCAATCGTCCATAATTCCAAGCCTTCTTTCTTAGTACAGTGAATAGGATTAGAAGCAACTGGAGAGAGAGAGAAAGAGAGAGAATAAGTAATATCACCCCACACTGATCTGCAAAAATATGTGAATAATAAAGGAATGAAATGTGGAATCCCATTTAATAAATGAGAGGGTTAAGCAAATGACCTGTGAGAACAGTGTGCTACCATTAAACACCCTCTCCGTGACCTTCAAAGACAGGTTACACTATCCAAATGGAAATGTACTACAATAGGCTTTCAATCACACCTGGAGTTATAAGAACCAGTGGTTTGGATCAAAGCCCAGTGAAGATTCAGGTTCACAGTCAAAAGAATCAACTCTAGTTCATTAGTTCCCTGTATCTTACTCTGTATCCTCTTCAGTCATAAAAGGGAGTTCTTTCTCCTATCACATCAGTTTCTGCTGATTTACAAACCAACATGCCCCTCTGCAGTTTGGAGTAGAACAGGATTCATTCTTAGCTCCAATGGTTTTAATTATCTACACTTCTGATTTTGTTGCTTTAATGGAAGCACATAACACCGAGTAAATCAATTTACGCAGACGCTACCCAGTTTTACGTACCAAAGATGAGCACTGAGGATACAGTAGACAAATTAGCATCTCTTTTGTCTGACAAAGATTTGGATGACAAGGAAGAGAGTAGAGATGAATGAAGGTACAGAAACAGAAATAATCATCATCATCATAAGGGACACATATATGAACATTTGGAAAATTCTAATGATCTAAAATAATGATGAGTAGTTTATTATTATAAAAATTATACCTTTGGTTTGTTTAATATTTATCCTGACAGTGATACAGTCGAAAATAGATCCACCAATCACAATCACCGTTACACACAGCCTTACTTTACCAAGTATTGCCAGGTAAAATTGCGTGTACGTGACCCAGGGTGAAGTCACTGGATCTTTGGCCGACTGTACAGGTACATCCTTAGGAAATACTGTTCTGTGTCATTGGTGAAACGCTCTGATATCCCACTATTCTTATTCCCACTATCTTTTTTAGTGTGTGTTGCAGTGAGTATTGAGGTGATGTGGGGGGGATATGGTGGTGGTGGTTCATATGATTGTTACTGTTGTGGTGAGAGGAGTGAATATTGAGGTTATATGAGAGTGATTATAATAACAATAGTACTGTAATTATAATGTGGATAACAATGGACTGAATAATCATACAGGGTATACCTAAAATTGGAAGGATACCATTTCACACAAATGGGAAATTAGGGTGCTTCAAAGTACAGTACATTTTCTGCAAATTTCAGTGTAATACTGTAATTACAGTACAGTATTTTAACAATGAAACCAGAAAAAAAATATATGCTCATATATCAGCATAAATATTAAATGAGAAATACCAATAAGAAATAAAGGAGGGACATAATAGGGTAATATAACATGGAAATTAAACACTACAGTATAATCCAAGTACATCCAGGTAAAATATGATACAGTACAGTACCTCTAATAGGGGGTTTAAGGCCGTATTGACCCCTATAATCGAAAAGGTTAAAAATTACATACCTAGAATACAATTATTACTACCATACCATACAAGTAAACTGCCTGTTGATTACAGTTCAAGATAATGTGATAATTTACCATTAATAGCAAACGAACTCTGATTTACAGAATTTCTCAGCGGCAATATCAAAATATCAAATTGATAGCTGATTGAATATACAGTATACACACGCAAACTCGTATCAAGAGCCTTATGCAGTAATTGTTAAGTCTCAAAAATGGGCCTCATGGCCTTGAACATTTATTTAATAATTTCAAATAATCAGAAGCACAGTACAAAACAGTAGTTTACTTTAGAAGACTTGAAAGTCACAAATACCTATAAAGTAATGATAATGATGCAAACTAAAAATTATACTTCTAATGAATAAAGATACTCACAATCCATCCTAGAAAGTTGATTAACAAATTCTCAGGAATTCCTTCATATCCTCCATAAAACAAGTGAGTCTTGTTTTGGATGACATACTGATTGCAGGCTTTTTTGTCCACTGCTTCCTGGAGGTCATCTAGGTCATCAGATGATGCATACACAGTTGTATCCTGAAGGTCATCTAAGTCATCAGTTCCCATTGGTGCATACACAGTTGGGTATGACATTGGTACGGTAGCATCCATCTGTAAGTACCTTCCTCTCTTAGTGATATGTTCATCAATGTACATTTGACTTTATTGTTTATAGCCCTGAATACGTTGCATGCACTTGCAGACATGTACACAATGAGGACCAACTTAATGAATAACATGCCTTCTTGAAAAAGCATTCCCACCATGGCTCACTTTCCCATAAAATGGCACTTGATACACCTCATGAAATATGGTATGTATTTAAAATAAATACAAGCATAATATTGCTTGTATGCAGGCTTATACGAAAATACTGTACAAGAATTAGTCGCAACATTAACAACTACCATAAATATTTTTTTAGGAGTAAATTTCATGGGTCCGACTAATTACCCAAATGTACCCGGAATGAAATCAAATAATGGTCCTAGATGAATAAATAGGACTGCCAATCACTTCTCGACTAGTATTTGGTGTCACAAAGTCACAAAAAATTGGAAAACTTACTTTAATCTGAGTTAATAGATAGCGTGCATGTACCGACGGAGCGAGGAATTACCCAAATGTACCCAAATGCAGTCGCAATGAAGTCAAATAATGGTCCTAGATGAATAAATTGGACTGCCAATCACTTCTCGACTAGTATTTGGTGTCACAAAGTCACAAAAAATTGGTAAACTTAATTTAATCTGAGTTAATAGATCGAGTGCATGTACCTAACCTAACCTCGACTAGTATTTGGTGTCACGAAGTCACAAAAAATTGGTAAACTTAATTTAATCTAAGTTAATAGATCAAATGCATGTACCAAACCTAATCTAACCTAACCTAACACAACACAACTCAGATTAAATTAAGTTAACCAATTTTTTTTGACTTTATGACACCAAATAATAATCGAGAAGTGATTTACAGCCCGAATTACACTTGTCCGACCATCATTTGACTTCATTGCGGCTACATTTGGCTACATTTGGGTAATTCCTCGCTCCGTCGGTACATGCACACGATCTATTAACTCAGATTAAAGCAAGTTTTCCAATTTTTTGTGACTTTGTGACACCAAATACTAGCCGAGAAGTGATTAGCAGTCTGATTTATTCATCTAGGACCATTATTTGACTTCATTCCGGCTATATTTGGGTACATTTGGGTAATTAGTCGGACCGAATTTCATCGCTGGCCATCTGCTACCACTCAACCCATCCCACCTCTTAAGTTGACTTTAGTCTATAGTACTGATCTGGTCCCTGAAGGTGAAAGGTTCTGTGATCCTTGTGTAGGATGTTGAATGAAGTTCTCTTTCCAGTCGTCTGCCTATAACTTATCATAAGTAAGATCTTTGGTACTTGCTTCCAGTCAGAAAAAAAAATCATATTAGGACAGTGTGGATGTGTAGATCACTAGTTGGAACCACAGGAAGGAATCACCACTGATGGTAAGGAACACATCTCCCACTCGTGTCTGAGCCCTACCAATACAGTAAAAGTATCTGAACCATACACTTAACTTTCATTGAATCTGATAAGTGGAAGGGTTACTGTTGTTTGCACATCTGAAAGTAGAATTTTTCAGAAAATCCACATTCCATGTCATCTAAATCCACCTAATATATAATAAAATTTTTGGTAAATGTCTGGAATAGCTTAAATGCTTAGAATAACTTTGCAACACCAATATGCTGGATGTGTGTTGGGGCATTTCAATTTGTCAATTTGGTGCTGCAGCATAAAGCCATCAAAACAATTAACAAAAACCCTCAAGGATTGTACATTTGTTGGATTATATCACTGTTTCTCCGTTTCATAGATATTTCCTGTTAGTATTCTGACGAGCTACACTTGATAGTGCCACCACCATAGACCCTAAATCAGCCCACATGAGCACCTGGGACACCCCATGACTTTTCTCTAATTAAATTCATCAAAATCTCTACCTACCAACACTCATTTATATCCCAGACTAGTGATCTGTGGAACTCCAAGCCACAAACTGATTTTCCTGTCTTATGACTTCTATCAGTTCAAATCATGCTGCTTCAAATATCTACAGAAGCTTATCTTTCTTTTGAGGTTATAATCAACTGAGCAAAAAAAATCTGTCTTTCAAATGGATAGTTCACTACAGGTTCCACCGTTAATGCAAATTTATACACAGCACCAAATAGGCACAGTCAGCCAAAGATCCAGCGATCCCACCCTGAGTCTTGTACTGGAAATTTTACCTGGCAATACCTGGTAAAGTAAGGCTGTATGTATAGGTGATTGGTGGATCTATTTTCGGCTGTATTACTGTCAGGATTAATATTAAACAATCCAAAGGTAGAATTTTTATAATAATAAACTAATCATTGTTGTTTAAAATCATGAGAAATTTCCCAATGTTCGCATAAAGGTATTTGGTTAAATAATGAAAAAATAATGTTAATGAGTTGGCATCTCAACCACGAGGGCTGCCGCAAGATTCTCAGATCAAATTTTCTTCATTTTTTAAGTATATATATATATATATACATATGGACATTTGGAACTTCTCATGATATGGCGAAATTTGAGGCATTTTCTGGACATGAGATGATACACCTGCATCGGCGCTATGCAGCCCTGGCGGGTTAATCCTATATATTAAACGGTTAGTTATCCAGACTATATTTTCCCCATGGTTTTTGAATGATTTGAACCTTCATATCTGTCTGAAATCACTGGTTTTTGTAGATGTCTCAATACATGGATCACCGAAACTAAAATTTTACCATATATTTATCGATCAAATGATTCACTGCATTGGCTATGACATTCAGCGCAGTGTCTGCGTTTTTATATCTCATTGAGTCTGGCCAGTAAATAACCCTACTTTCCTCCCTCATCATAATTGCCCCTTGTAATATTTGAACCTTGGCTTGCTTTTGTCATGACCCAAGTAACAGTTAAATCTGAAGGAAAGCATTACGTGGTGACTAATACCACTGGGGCTAGGTGTTCCAGCTTGACCAGAACATGTAGAAAAACTGAACGAAATCGACCAATTCCTTTATATGCCCATTAAGGAGCAGCATCTGTCCACAAACTTGTTCAGTTCACAAAATAAATGTCAATTACCCAGGATAGACTGTGGGGTACACAGCATATACCGTCTAAATTTCACATACCGACATTCCAATACCATATAAGTTTTCACTAATTATATATAAAAATGTTACTCTGTACAATATTAAGTCTTAAGTTTTGTTAAAGTGTGTTGACTGTCAATAGCAATTCACCAAAGGTCTTATGAAAATACATCTTTTCAGATACCTATAACACTCGAAGAAAGACCTTGCAGTTCCACCAATTAACAGTAAACATACACTGACAGCATTTTGGCAATAAAAACTTACCATTATGAGGAATACAAGAATAATAAAGGAACCATCTGGAAGGCACCTACCTACACCTGACGTAACACTCCTCTATCAACACACTGAACCTCCAGCCCCACCAGCTGATTCACCTGACATGTTCCAATAATTTTTTTTCTGAATTTCACTTAGTACAATTTTAAACAGTATTGCTTAATATCCAGTCTGTCGAGATTTGTATGTCATTTACATCAACGAATATAAAAAAAAACAAGTGATTTAATGGTCCAACAATAAATTCCATTTTGGACACTAATAAGTAAGTAGGTTCGCTATAGGAAATCGCAAAAGTCGTGTTATTATGTGACTGATGATTTTCTCAGTGTAAGCTAAAACCACTACTATTGAACATTAAATTATCAATTATATCATAATTTTTAAACTCTAGATATAAGAAAAATAGTAGTGGTACAAACTTTAGTATTATCGTCTGTAAAAGAAATGGTGATGGAGGGCAAAGACTGTATGGCAGGGGTGTGTAGGTTGTACGCCCTTCTCTAGGAGCCTGATTTTTTTTTTACGGGTATTAGCTCACCCGGACACAGGTCACCGACCCACATCAGGGCCCGGGGGTGAAAACGTAATAACAATAACAATAATAATAATAATAATAATAATAATAATAATAATAATAATAATAATAATAATAATAATAATAATAATAATTCAGATAAGTAAAATTTATAATAAAAAATACAAAAATAAAAATAAAATAATAATGATAACAATAACAATACTGAAAACACTGCAATAATAATAATAAAAATAATAATAATAATAATAATAATAATAAGGAACCATAAAGAAATTAAAAAAAAGATCATTAGTGAGAAACAATATATGTATATTGTGTTGTCAATAGTATGAGAAACAATTGAGACCCTGCAATTGTGTGTAAATGAGGCAGAAAGTCAGATCAGCAACCTGGGACTTGGTCACAATTTTCGTGATGCCATATGGCAGCAGGGTCTACCATTAGACAACACATTATGCTTCCAATATATTCCCAGGCGGTAGTACCTCCCTGTTTGGTAGCTGCCTACTGTTTCTCTTATAAATTTTCTTCGGGAATGTACTCTCCATATCCTATCCGTAGTAGTTTTTTTCTACGATAACCAACTGGAGATTCAATATTTACTGTTAACGAAGTGTATTTAATATGCTGACCCAGCACAATTGTACGAGCAAGTGAACTTAGACATCATGATGAAAAATGAAAACAATTGTTCGAAAAACATTCTGTACTCCTAATTACTGCACTGTGGCTATTATACAGTAATCCAAACCAAGGATTCTAACACTGTACAGTGTACAGTATTAGAATCTTGCCCAAACCAATGCACTTAGTTGAGGCCTTTTTTCACCGATCTTGCCGTGCCTATCGATCGTTATAATGCTTGCAGTCATCATTTGTATTTTGGGGTAATCTTATATAAAACCGGTCTTTCTCAATGTGAAGTGAAGGTAAAATAACTGTATTAATTATTTATAGAACAGATGAACTCACAAACTTTGTGTACAGTTCATATAACTATTGTAGGCGTGAAACAGAATATAGTTCTTTACTTTTACTTTTTTCCTCTTCACCACTGATCGGCTCGTTAGCCGCTTGGGCGATCGGTCACGTCTCTGTTACGCACTGTTAGCAAGTACTGAGCATGCACCGGCTCCTGAATGTACCTGAACCTGCTCCAGTGTTGGTCAAGTCTGGTCTTGAAAGAGCTCACACTCGGTGCCGTCACAACACTTTCCGGTAGATTGTTTCAAGAGTTCACAACTCTCACACAGTTTTCTGGACTAAAGGCTTCTTCAATCTTGAGCTGTGACCCCTTGTGGGCGAGCGTCCGCCAGCTCCAAGTAAGGACACTCGACTGAGTAGTGCCCCTTGAGATGCTTATACACCTCAATTAGGTCGCCCCTTGCCCGTCTGTAGTATAAGCTAGGCAGGTTCAGGCGCTCCAATCTCTCAGGGTAGTTGAGGTGCCGAAGTGCAGAAACCAGTCTGGTGGCCCTCCTATGAACATTTTCAACCAACTGACAGTCCCTGGCATATCTCGGGGACTAGACGGGTTGACAGTATTCCAGATGGGGAAGCACTTCACTCTTGAAGATCGTTACGAGGGACGGACCGTCTAAATATCTGAACGACCTTCTTATAAGACCCAATAATTTATTTGCCTGATTTACCTTCTACTCGCAATGGCCCGAGAACTTCAGCTCTTTGTCAACATACACACCTAGGTCCTTCTCACATTCAGTCTCAAATAGTGCAGTTTCTTCATCCCGTTGGGACATATGATACGCTTCCTTACCGTTGGAACGTCCCAGGTGTATCCTCTTACACTTCGTGACAATCTCAGCAGCCATTTCTTCGATCATTCTTGGAACTCACAGAGATCCTTCTGCAGCTCTTCACAGTCCGCTTGGTTCTTGATTTCCCGAAATAAATTGGCGTCATCAGCAAACATTTGTATGGAGGAGTGTACAACGTCAGGCATATCATTTATGAAACAAATGACACAAATTTAGCACTCAAAATCGAATTACTAGACGAAAACTAAACAGGCCTCTTTATGGTAGTAACATCTTCAGTTTTTTAATGCATTTTGAAATAAAACCTTAAAACAGGAAGTACAGTGTGAGGGTCAATGGCCGCGAGGCTGTTCTCGGTGATTAGAAACCAGTATAATTTTGACCAGTCGTTCTTTTCTTAGTTTTATTGACATTAAAGTGTGAAGGAGTCGACTTTGTTGTGGGAGTGTGTGGCTGAGGTGCAGGAAAGATGCCCTCTGTAACTTGAGTAAACATCACGAGGTTGTATGACCACCGAGTCCGGAGTCTTAAAGTTTCGTATGATAAATTCTCAGTTCCTGTACAGTATGTGTTTTATTAAAACACCTCTAGCTATCTCAATTCATGAGGGGTTGTCCAGCGTTGAGTTTTAGCGTGACTTCGGTTATGATTTTAGTGATTAAAATAAGAATGTCTAAGTAGCCATCAATCACTCATTCATTTTCTAGGCTCCGGTCAGGGGTACAGTAGTTGACACCTGTCATATTATTCTCAGACTCCGTTGCCTTTAATGGGAAATCCTTTTGTTTTTTCTTAGTGACTATTGAAAGGGGTAGATTACACTATAAATTTATTGTAGGAGGGTTATTAAAGTACATTCCTAAGCTTTAAATGTCTATATTAGCTATAAGGACAGTGACCAGCCTCAACCCGTATAACCTAGGAATTATGATTTACATACTGTAGTTGTGCCCAGATACCTATGTCATGCTACAACTCCACGATGGCCACCTTGTTCTCACCTTCACTACTCATGCTAGAATGATCTCATTTCATTACACATCGGCCTTCTGAATGCCCATGGGAGGCACTCCACTTGGCTTCTTACAAACTAGTCAATTTCGAATTGTATCGTATGGTATCCTCTTCGCCATTCATCGGTCTGTTTAACCACTTGGGCGGTCGTCCATGTCTTACGCACTGTTGGCAAATAAATACAGGGCATGCACTGGGTCTTTTTCATATTTGGTCTCAGTTTACGGTGCTTCCTCTTCCTGTTGGTACGATTTTGTATTTCGTAACGATGAATCTAGGCAGACATTCATTTGACCACTCCTGAAGCTGATAGAAGTCTTTATGTAACTCTTTGAGTCTTTCCTGTCCGCTCGGTTCTTAATTTATCTGAATAGCTTAACTCCGTCTGTAAACATTTGTATAAAACGAACAAACAACAACGGCCCAGGCCCCCATCGTCTCAGACTCTCAGTGGCCCTGCGACACCCAGCTTGTCAAGGGTACACATAACGATTTCATGCCATTAATCACCACATGTTGCTTGTGGTCATAAAGCAAGTCTCCAATCCACACCAGGATATTCTCTCAAATTTAGTACCCTTCCAGTTTAATTTTCAGCAGATGCAGGTGGAGTCTCGGCCTCCCACAAGTGTTACAAGGGATATTTTCCCCCACACCTGAGGTGGTTGGTCAAATTGATAAGTGCCATAAACACTGGAACGTTACATACAGTCATTGGGCCACCTATTCACGTGTGGATATTGGCGTGAGTGCTACTGGATGTGAGTGGGGGTGCCCCTATTGCCACAAAACGGTTATGGTAATATCGTAAACATTGTTGTTTAATAAGGAATTCTAGAATTAAAGACTTAATTTATATATCAATAACTAAAAATAAGCTAGGGTGAGGCGGCAAATTTTACGCCAAACTTTCCTAAACTTCCATAAGAAATTAAAATCTAACAGACATAAATAATTTTGAAATAAATTCAGCTAAGACAGGGGGGGTATGCAAAAAAGTAAGCAAATGCAACATTGGGCAACTTCCTTAAGGCAGAAATTAACTGATGTACAGCTAAGTACATGGACACGGACAGTAAGTTCATTGGATCACTTCAGGGTATCCAGTCTGTGCTGATCACACTCAAACTTCCGCGCCGTTGCTATTTGAACAAAAGGATCTCGCAAGTTTTTAGTAAGATTAAGCTCTTTCATTCTGAAGATTTTTTTTCTTTATAATACATCTTTTTTTTTTTTTTTACAATAAGTTCGGTTTCTTAGTACAATAATGCTGTGTTTTTAAGTGCGGTTCTTTTCTGTGTGGTATTGTTTACAATAAGTATTGATTCTTTTACAAATCCTGTTTTATTAATAAGCGTTATTTCTTGAGCCCATTATTAATTTCCCGTAGTATATCGTTATATCCCTATCGTTAAACTGCCGATTTGGTAGTGTTTACACTGTCAGTTTCTTGCTATACTGTACTTACACATTACACTCTATTATCACTATCCTCTAACTACCGCCCAATCAGTCTAACATCAATAGTAGGCAAATTACTGGAAGCAATCATTTCAAACTCTATTCGAAATCACCTGGAGAAGCACGGATTGATCAATGATTCCCAGCATGGCTTCACAAGCGGACGTTCTTGTCTAACTAATCTATTAACATTCTTTTCATCAGTTTTCGAATCGGTGGACGAGGGGCACAATTATGATGTGAGCATTAACGGCACTAAGTCCCATTGGAGCAACGTCACAAGTGGAGTTCCCCAAGGCTCAGTACTTG